ATTATCATCACTCCTCACGCAATGAGAAGAACATTTGTGCACATATTATCTTAATTGGACAAACAGCCTGTGTCGTGTGTGAGCGGCTTAGATTATCTGCAACCCGCACGCAAAACAGCAACAAAAATGCACACCACTCAAAATTTAGAAACATCTATGCAACTTATAAACAGCTACCGTCATTTCAGTTGTCCATCATACACCATAACGAGCGGTTTTCCTGTCTTCTTACAATGTACGCAGAGTCTGGCCTCTGTGAAACAGAGAGGATGCGATAGCGGCATCGACTTGTTTTAGATGAACCGAAATGTAATGGGGTATCTCGTCCGGATCTGTCGGTTTGCGATATATCGTCGCCGTTAAGCGTGCACCGTCCACCTATGAACTAGGCAATCGAGGTATGACAGTGTGCCACTGCAAGATTGTAGTTACATAGTAAAGCCTATGTTTCCAGTAATGGAGTTCAGGTGGTTTAGAAAATCATCCCATTATATAAGCACAAATGTATTATCCACGTACGTACACCAAATCTTTGGCGAACTGCGGGATGTGGTCAGCGCCCTCCTCCCAAATTCTTCCATACACCGAGTTGCGAACACGGGGGATATTGGTGACCCCATGGCAAATCCCTGCTCCTGAGAGTACAGTCTCGACAGGAACCTGAAATATGACATATTAAGATATACTTTACTTCCATCGATTATATGTGGTCTATCGTGAGTTTTGTTCGCTGCTCCAGGCTATTATCCTCAGTGAGGCAATGTTGTGCTATACACAATACGTCAAACTTGGGCACGTTAGTGATTAGGGAGCTAACGTCGAAATTAACCATTACTTCGTCTGGCAAGATGGCCAGACCTGATTCCTTTCGCGCGAACTCATAAGAGCTCCGTGTGAACGTATTTGTTCTCCCTTCCAGAGGTTGCAACAAACCTGCCAAATATCGGGCTAGTTCGTATGTTGGAGAACCAAAACCACATACGATGGGTCGAACGGGAACTTTGGCCTTATATATGTTCGGCAGCCGATAGATCCTAGGTGGAAACGTTGATTTCGGATGTGCGCTATAACATTTACCCCGCCTTACGTTGCGCTTCACACTACTCAGATGGTTGCTCACCTCTGTTTCATTCCTATTCATTATAGACCATACGGATTTTTCTCATTTGACTCGCAGCCAACCGCTGCTAAATGCTGTTCAATTGTAAAACCATAAATCGATTTGTTCATTATCAGTGCGGTCTTGCCTTTTCGGCTTTCTTGATGATAATGATAGGATCTTCTCTTGAGGCCGTTCATGCGGTACGCTCCGCTGTTGTAAGATTTGACTTTACAGGGGTCTGAAATCTGATGATGTCTACCATCTGTTCACGAATATTCTCAGTTGCTGATACTGGTAATTTCATCATCACGGTTGCAACGCTAGTTAGTTGAGACTTAGTTACAGAAAAGTTCAAACCGATTTTCTGTAATATACGTTCTGTCTCACTGAACAACCTTTCGGACTTATTAACTACACTGTAATATTTACTGCTAGATTCAGACCTATCTTCGAGACAAGTGGTCCTGATAGATATAGACATTAAATGATTGAACTTACGAATTTGTCTTTTTTTCGCAGCTATCCCTTGAGTTTATTTCACTTCCGTCGCCTCGTTGTAGAGTCTAGCATAGTCTGTATGCGTTATAGCGATCTGCATTACCCAGCTCAGCCGATTAGCGGCGATTAGTAGCGATTGCTACCACTACTTACTTTTAAGATTATAACTACCTACTACAACTACTAGCTGCTACTACCACTATTATGACTTCACAAACCCTACTACCTCCTACTATTGCTACTACCTAATGCTATTAGGACTCATACTAGCACTAGTAGAAATAAATATTGCTATACTACTACTAATGCTACTACTACTACGACTACTACTAAAAATGTAACCTATTACTACTACCACTACTATCAAAACTACCTGCTACTAACAATAATATATCATATTATCATTTCTTCCTTCTACTGGTGATAATACCTAGACAAATAATTTTACCTACTATTACAAATAAAACCTTGTAAAATCGATACTTCCTACTACCTGTATCTGCTAAGACTAAAACTACCACCTTCTACTAATGGTACTAATCCTACTAATCATATTACTACTACTACTACTACCACAACATATACTACAGCTTCACTACTACTACTACTAGAAACGAAACTGTTACTAGTACTTCAAATTCTACTACTTTTTCTACTACTACTGTGCGCAGTAATACTACCACAACTATTACCACTACTACTGCCACCAATGCTACCACTTAAACTTCTATGACTGTTGTAATAAAACGTCACAGATTACTGCTATTATTACTACAAATGCACTACTACTACTACTACTACTACTACTACTACTACTACTACCACTTTGCTTGCTACCACAATTTCTACTACTACTATTTCAATCTACAACTGCCACTAATAATGCTACCATTACTGGTACTGATACTACTATATCCACTTGTACTACTACTGCTCCCAATATTACATTTACCATTAACATTATCTATTAATTCTGCTCATACTACGACTACTATCATCTCTACTACTATTACAACTCATTTCTGCAGTTAATTATGTTAATAAAACTTCTATTACTAATGCTAATACCAATGCACCCAAAATGACTACAGCTACTAGTTCTAATGCCACTTAATTCAGCTAAATATTGCCAAGGCTCCTTCAAACATTCTACTACTACTGGTTCTTCTGCTACTACTAATACCACTTCTACCACTACTTATTAGTACTGCCACGACCTACTAGCAGAACTAATATTATCTGCTACTAATATTACCTGCTAATTTTACTAACCACTGATGCTACTACCTACCTATCTATTGCTACTAATAAATACTAAACCTGCTGCTATCTACTACTAATAATACCTATCATTATTAATAACTAGTATTAACACTTCCTTCCATTACTATTTCTACCTACTACAAATACTACCTACTCACCTACCATTACTACTATTACTTCCACTACCTTTTACTACTATTGCTTCCTACTGCAACCGCAATTATTTACGACTGCTGCTACTGCTATTGCAACTACCACATAACCTCACTGATACTATCTACCACTGCTACTAATAGCTGCTATTTTTGCTAATAACTACTACTTTCACATGCTACAAATATTACTAATTAATCATAACTACTACTTAGTACAACTAATAAACCTAGCATTTTTCTAATACCTACCTCCATTACCACTACCTAGTACTACTGTTACCTACTAATACTAACACTAACAAATATTATCCCCTTCCAATAATTCTACTACATTCTACTACTAGTACTACATACTACAACAATTTCAACCTACTAATACTTACAACTGCCATTAATTAATACTACGTACTGCTACTTCTACTACATACCACTTCTACCACTACCTTCTAAAACTAATACTAAACAGTACTACTAATATTTCTGCGGATGCTACTACTACTACTACTACTACTATTACTACTGCTACTAATACTACGATTACTAACATCCACTACGGTCACATCTACGTATTAATATCACCTATGCATACCACTACTACCTACTTCTGCTACTAATAATTATTAACACAATAAAGCACTAACAATACCAACACTATCTTCCATTCCTGCTACTTACCGCTGTATTATTACATACCAAGAGTACTGCAACTACCTGCTAATACTAATACTTCCTTGTATTACTATTGTTACCCACTACAAATTCTACTAATAAATAATACTACTACAAGCTACTACAAGTACAACTATCTACAACTAACACCACCAGCTACCGCTACTACTAATACTATATAAACCTCTAGTACTACCTACTTATACTAATAACACTGCTGCTAACAAATACTGATATTACTACTACATGCTACATACTACATACAAGGGGCGGCCAATGTTCTTGGACAACAACTTGGAATATCATCCAAAGCGTGCAATCATCATGTATTGTGTCTAAGTAGGTAACGCCGCCATCAGGGCTTAATCACAACTGTATGAAGAGCATGATGTCTCTGCACAAGTTCCTCTCCCCGGCTGCGGATGGCATTCGCACGAAGGCGTTGAAATTTGCTGCCATGGGTTTGGCAGGACCACTAGCAATTTTCTTTCAACGATGTATAAAGGAGGTACACGTCCCTATGATGTGGAAGCACGGAATCATCACGCCAACCTACAAAAGTAGCAGCCGTGCTGAACCAGCAAATTATGGCCCGATAACACTACTTCCTGTGATCTCCAAGGCTATGGAGTCCATTGTAGCTGAGGCTTTGATGGATTACATGGAGAACAACAAAATCCTTTTCCCGGAGCAACACGGATTTCACCAAACTTGCTCCTGTACCACCAAACCGTTGATTGCTCGTGCAAGCTGGATGGAATATGCGGAAGCTGGTGTAGAAGTCGACGCAGCCTACCTGGATTTCTCAAAGGCGTTAGATTGTCTAGTCCGTCGCATTCTGCTCCACAAACCAAACATAAGGAATCGGCGAGCCAGTTCTGGGCTGGATAGAAAACTTTCTCCCCCATCTGGGCACGAATATTCTCATTTGCTGATACTGGTAATTTCACCATCACAAGCTCAACGCTAGTTAGCTTAGACTTATATACACAAAAGTACAAACTGATTTATACGCTCCGTCTTACACAACAACCTATCGGACATATAAACTACACTGAAACATTTACTGCTAGATTCAGACCTATCTTCGGGACTGCTGGTCCTGGTATGCATTGATATCAATTGGTTGAACTTACGAATTTGTCCTTCTTTCGCAGCTATCCCTTGCGTTGATTTCACTTCCGAGGCCTTGATATATCGTCGGTCGACATTATAGCGGTCTGCATCTCCCAGCTAAGCCGATTAGCTTGAAGGTGGATTTCATTCCGGCGACCAGTTGTCATGTAGGTCTGTTGTATTAGCAATGTTTTGCTTGCGTTGAAGGCTGCTTTAGCAGTTGTGTAATAACTATCCGTTGCTCTGACATCGAGGCTTTAAGTTCACATTTGCGACATCTTCTTCAGGTTAGGTGAATCGGTACACAATTCTGAAAGTAAGAAATAATTGGTTAGTTGTTATGGTTCCGCTGAATATACGGCTTACCTGCTGTAACGCGCAGCTGACCGTTGACAGAAATGTGTTGTGGTGTCCGCTGACATTACGGATAACCCGCCTGAATCTGCTGTACAGCCCCCAACCAGTTCAACCAGCCACGAAATGAAAACACCAAAACCAGCTGGTCCGAGTGATCCGTATCCTGATTCGGAATATGATCGTATGAGAGCGTTTTGCAATATATAGTTCGTAAGAAACCACTAACACAACAAAACGATAGATGCTAATTAATATTATTAAACAAAACCCATACGGTTCAACTTCATTTGTCCACTTGCCGTTGATTCCTCATAGATTCCCATTTTGATCTATGATCGCGTTCAATCTCTACTTGCGGCTCCATACACTGTTGCGGCACGGCTCTCGGCCTGAAAGCTGACTCACCGCAACATTCTTCAATAGGCCGCAGCCATTTTCGTGAAACAACAAGCATCGAGCGATGCTCATTGATCCACGTCATCGATCGTTCGCATGTGAGTCATTCCTTTCCTGCAGCTGCTGATTAACGCCCTGACTGCATTTCTCGCTGACCGGCTTAACAAACCAGTCACCCGTTCGATAACTCCACTCCGTACGTTCTGTTCACACAGTACTCTGTTCTGTTCACGCAGTACTCTGTTCTGTTCACACAGTACTCTCGATCGCCTTAAAAATCAACCATTGTCTTGTTGCTGGTAAATCCCTTTTAAGTATCTCGACATTGTCCCATTCAATCTCGTTTCCTGCGTCTAGTGTGCGTACGGCCACCACTAAATAATTATAGTAGTTGTCTATATTCAGGCTCATTTCTCGGTGGAAGCGAAATGTGTCTCTTGTTTTCTGCTATTTTCGTGTGTAGTTCTCTCGCTGTTGGACAGGTGTTCACAGTTTTTGCAACTGATTAGATTAACCCAATTTGTCGTCCTATCACTTGGGAGCGGACCGTTAAAAAGCACAAGTGCTGCGTAGAGCGCTTTGCCATTTGGAACAACCACTCTTAGTTTCTCCCGCGTTAGTACTCGGCTGATTGCTTCTGAGGTTCCCTTTTATAGGGGATTTCCACCGTCCCAATTCACTCGATTGTGCGTCGCGAAGGTGAATTTAGAGCCCTCTGCAACTGGCGTTTCACTAACTGCCTCGCATATTCATTGCCTATGAATTTGCTCACCGTATCCTTACGAGCGACATTCCTGTCTTCTTCCACTGTACACAGATTCTGGGCTCTGTGAAACAGAGAGGATGCGATAGCGGCATCGACTTGTTTTAGTTGAACCAAACTGTAATGGAGTATCCCGTCCGCATCAGTCGGCTTGCGATATATCGTCGCCTTTATCTGTCCACCGTCCACCTATGAACTGGGCAATCGAGGCATGACAGTGTGCCACTGCAAGATTGTAGTTCCATAGGCCCGTTAGTCTGACGAGTGTAATAGTTAAACTCGTCGAGAAATTGGTATGATATTCATTGGAGTGTCATCTGAGTAGATGTAATCTACTTAGCAGTGTACAACACGGATTCTGGAAGAGATTTTCGTGTCTGACGAATCTACTAAAGGCTCGTGAAAGTTGGGCCGATGCAGTGGATAACGGCCACGCAGTGTACGTGCTTTCGTCGACTTTTCGAAGGCGTTTGACAAAGTACCATATTTGAGGCTCGGGCAAAACTGACCTCCTACGAAGTATCTGGAAGCGTCCTTCATTTGATGACTGCCTTCTTGGAGGGTAAAGAACAGTGTGTACAGGTAGGCCTAGGCATATCGTTTAGGCATTCTGTCCTCAGTGGCGTGCCGCAGGGCTCGATTCTTGGACCGCTGCTGTTCTCTACCTAGGTGAATGACCTACCAACGGCGCTTGAGGTGCCATTACTGCTACTTGCTGATGACCTGAAGCTTTGGACCATTGTCGATGTTCCAGCGAGCATTGGATAAGCTTTGGGGCTGGTCTACTTTATGGTTGCTACCAATAAATCAGGCGAAGTGCTCCGTTCTTCAAATTGGAGGAGGTTGTCTTTTTACGAAGTACTTGTTCGGTGGGGTCGAATTCCCCCGTGTATCTAGCCAGGTTAACCTAGGCGTCGTACACACCTCGGCTTTACACTCTGGCGACAACCGGAAGAAAGCCGCAAGCAGAGGTTTCCACAGGTTGTGGTTAATACGACGTTCTTTCGGAGTCACGACGGACGACATCATTTCGAGACTGTTCTTGGCTTTTGTGCTGCCTCATCTAAAATACTGCGTCCAGGCTTGTCCGCCCTGCCTCGTCCGGGGCAAAATGGAGCTAGAGAGGGTTTTACGGGTGATTACTAGATTAGTTGAGGGATTACGAGGACGGACGTACCCCGAGCGTCTACTTAGTTGGAGATTGCATTCAATGCACGACCGGAGGATTAGAGGAGACCTAATCTCAACCTACCGTATCTTAACTGGGAAGGTTGGTCTAGATTTATCTTGGCTATTCAGTCTGTTCTACGCAGTCATTTCTTGAAGCTGGACAAACCGCAGTCTGATCGGATTAGTGCGGAAATCCGACTGTCACGCCGAGTCATCGAGCGCTGGAACATGCTTCCGGATAGTATTATCAGATAACCTACGCTTAAGGGGTTTCAGCAGCAACTTGACGCTCTTGGGTGATAACACGAAACTTTTCCATTTCCTGAGTAAGTCGCAACTCCATTCTACGATCTTGTTTGCTCTATCTTACTTCACGCATTGGTATTATTTTCTTATTTCAAGTGCACATCCTTATTCTGTACCTTCGAGTGCTCTTCATTTGCTTACTTCAAGTGACTGACAATGCAGGGACTGCTGTAGCGCCCAAAAAGATAACTCTTATCTTTCGTGTACAATTTACTTGTTAACCAATTGTTCATTACTCCTTCTTGTTTTAATCTTACAACCGGCTCGACACACAACTGCCTTGTAAGTCCCCACACTCGCGTGTACGCTCTTGCCACGCTTCATCCGTCCGCTTCTTGTTGTAACCCATCGAATACAGTCCGCTGTGTCCGACTCCAATTGCCTTCTGATATCCGCGCTTAGTTACGCGCATCGTCTCGGGCTAGTATTAACTAGTCCTACAAATTGGTGACCCCGATTCGCACGCGCGAATTCAACATTTTTCTCGTTTGTATTTTTTGGTGAGTTCGTTCCTTTTTCTCGATTATATACCTATATTCATTTGTTTCCTGCTAAGACAAGGAACGTCGGCATTAACTGGTTGGCCAGGGTTTTCGGTTTAAGATCTATTAATAAACCTGCGCACTTAATCCATCCCTGGCTCAACACTCCATTCAAGATGGAACCCACAGGATTCTCCTATCGTTCCAGTCTCACACGAACTTGAAATTAAAATTGCACTATTGCCATTAATACAAGTTCTCACCATTACTAATACTAGTACTGCTAGGACTACTACTACTGCAGCTACCACTACTACTACAACTACTGCTACTGCTACTACTATTACTAAAACAACTACAGCTATTACTACTACTAATAATAAAACGATTGCTGCTACTATATCCTTTGCGGCGTCGGGCGCAAAAACCAATCTCCCTAGTTGGATGAACCTCCGATGCAATTACATTTACCGAGTGAGCCAGTGCCTATATCACGTCAGCACGCGCTGATAATGGTAGGAGCTTCTCTTAAGGCCTTTTATGCGGTACGCTCCACTGTTGTAAGATTTGGATTTAGAGGCTTCTGAAATCTGATGATATCTACCATCTGGGCACGAATATTCTCATTTGCTGATACTGGTAATTTCATCATCACAATCTCAACGCTAGTTAGCTTAGACTTATATACACAAAAGTACAAACTGATTTATACGCTCCGTCTTACACAACAACCTATCGGACATATAAACTACACTGAAACATTTACTGCTAGATTCAGACCTATCTTCGGGACTGCTGGTCCTGGTATGCATTGATATCAACTGGTTGAACTTACGAATTTGTCCTTCTTTCGCAGCTATCCCTTGCGTTGATTTCACTTCCGATGCCTTGATATATCGTCCGTCTGCATTATAGCGATCTGCATTGCTCCTTGACAGAATGAGGATGTGCGGTGTTGGTGGTTCGCTGCACAAATGGATCAGCAACTTCCTTATTGATCGAAAGTGGAGAGTCCAAGTGGACAACCATCTAACTGAGTGGTATCCATCGAGCAGCGGCGTGCCCCAAGGCACTGTACTGGGCCCGATATTGTTTCCAATCCATATAAACGATGTGCCTCAGCTACTACAATCTCATTGTGCTTTGTTCGCAGATGACTTGAAAGTGTGGAGAGTAATCCGCACACTCAATGATTGCGATTTACTTCAGCAGGATCTCGACCGCCTCTCGACATGGTCTGCAGAGGTTAACCTTCCGATCAACCCTGCCAAGTCGCAATTCATGAGGTTGGGTAAGTATGATCACGGCCGAACGTACACAGTGGCTGGTCAACCGTTGCATCCCGCTCCTTTCGTGCGCGACCTCGGTGTACTCTCACGCTGCGACCTAAAATCCATTGTCAACACGAATAGGCTGTACCAAAACAGCCTTCGTATGCTTTGGGCTCTCAGGCGCAGCTTTAGCACTTGGTCCGAAGAGATTGCTTCTCGCCTCTTCGTCTCGATAATACGACCAATGCTGGAGTACGGCACTCCCGCATACTGTCCCATCACCCGGGGCGAAGTAGAAAAGCTTGAGCGGGTGCAGCATGTAGCCACCAGGCTGATTCCCAACTTACGAGGTATGCCATACGAAGACCGATGTAAGAAACTAGGGTTATACACCCTATCTTATCGTCGGCTGAGAGTTGACCTCATCATGACGCACCGGATATTACATCTGGGTGATTACCCCATGTTGAGACAACTACTTCATCTGCGCACACCAAGCTGCACGCGAGGACACCGGTATACACTTATCGTCCCGGATTTGAAGCGGGTCGCCCATCAACTCTGTTTCGAACGCAGAGTGGTGAATGTCTGGAACGACCTGCCTCAGCATATAGTAGAAGCCAACACAGTGTCTAAATTCAAGATGCTACTAGACCAACAATTTGCAGAGGCAAAGTACAGAGAGCGAAAAGATAAATAAAGAGTTCATGTCCGAAAACGACGAATGATGCAGCTACACAGAGCAACCTCTACTCGCTGCTTCGCACCAGTTCTC